AACTCATAACCGGTGACCAGTTCTCGGAAGACGTGCAGAAAGAGCTCCAATTCGCAGACATTGGCCGCCATTTTGTCGTCTTTTACCGACGGATCGGAGCATTGGATCTCGAGATAAGCCAAACGTCTGGGCCTTACGTATTGAGTGGACGACAGCCGGAGCTTAACCTCACCCGACATGTAGTCATAGACGAAGACGTTGTCGTTCTCGTGGAAGAACTTCACGAAATCCGAGTGATAGGGATATTTGGCCAGAAACCACTTCTTCAGATCAGATCCCATGTGACGCCCGATATGTCCCTAAAAGACAATACAAACCAATGGTTACACAAATGGATCCAAAAACGCATCGACCGCTCAGCTGTTCCCATAGGCAGACAGCGCGAGCGCACACACGGGTGACAGACGAACCCGCCATCGGGTGGCGGACCCGTCGGTGGCCATCGATGGCCAGACAAGTGGTCACTTACGGCAAAATTGGTCGGACGAGTGCTCTTTCCCGCAGATGTCTTGTAGTTAACGAGCGATCGGAAGAAGTCGATGGCGTCCTTATTCATAGACGCTTCCAGTCGTTCCGCTTCAGCCATGTCTGCCATCTCTGCCATCGCAGTCGCCATCACTTCTTCGGATCAATTGATTTGTGATCTCTTTTTGTGACACAAATTCAAAACGACTTTCAGTTTCTGTTTTTGTCACCAAATAATCGAAACCAGTGTTGAATGCATTCATATAATACGTGACACGCGTTCGTGTGATTGGGTGGGAGAGGGGGTGTATAGCGAGCGAGTGTTACGATTGTATTGTTATGGAATACAAAAGTTTTCAATTGTAGGGGTGCTGTGAAAGTATGTTTAAGCGTAACGTTATTTGTTTATTCTTAGTTTTTTGTATAATTTCACGTGCATTTGGCTATGAATTGTGGGCCAAGTCTTGGGCTCTCATTAATTGCCATTCATTTCAAATATAATTATTAATTACACGAAATGTTAATTAAATAGCATTTAATTTATTTAAATATTAGACAATTTAAATGTAATGAAGAAAACAGTGGCAAAAGTTGGTCACAAACTGAGCCAAACTAAGCTAGGACATATTACTTATATTTATAACTTTACACTAACAAGTAAGCACTACTAAAAAATGACTACCAAACAAATGGGAAAAATGCTATTACCATACAAAACCACACAATACAGCGATGTACGTGTAGTCAAGCTTTAATGCAGTCAATGCTATTTTATTGCAATAATATTGTGAAAGCAATTTTTTTGGTTGTAATTTTTTTGGTGGCCAAGAAGTTAATTTTTAAATGAAGTACATTTATATTTGTAGCGAGAATTATATTTTGCTAAATAGGAATTAAATAAAATAATAATTTAAATTCGTAAAACTAATAACATTAATACAAATTAATGGATCAATTAATTAAATTATTGGTTATCTCAGAGTGAATGGCATTACATTGTGTACTAAACCATTAATTATACGAGCATTTAGTCAATTAATCACCAATTAATGACTGTTTGCTATACTTTCCATACAAATGTATACTTCTCTGTAATAATTGCACCACAAATGCAACACATGTTAAAATTGTATAAATTGTTTATTAATGAATTTATTGTCAATAAAAATCTGTCGAGTATTTTATACAGACATACACTAATATAATACACTATTATTATCATGATTTATATTTTCACCCTCATGATTTATTACCATGATCAATTGACCACCAAATCGTTAGAACACAAGCATTCATACAATAGTGCAGTAATTATTGTAAAATTTTCAAAGTATATAAACTCGACGGATATAATGGAAAATTCATCACAAGTTTTAAATAACTATACAATTAACAAATAGTTAATTTACTTTTATTTAAACAATGAATTGTTCACTACTATTGGTTTTATGTAAGTATTTGTACATTATAAATATGTCTATAATTGTATCATGAGAAATTTGTTAACTTAATAATTTACAAATTTACAAATTCTCTCCCATAGGCTTAACCATTCACTTGGCTTATGGCGCGAGTGTTGAAAAGCGCAATGTCTTAGACCTTCTCAACCCCTTTAAACACTTCCAAAAGTCTGTCGTAAACGCTGTCCAAAGCGGTGACAAACCGAGTGTAAACTTCCATCTGTACCTAGTCCATAATGTCCGGCTGACGCGGGTGGGGAACAGGGGGTTGATATTCGTTTGAAACGCGGCTAACCTGCAGCTAAACTCTGTTAAGTACCAAAACCTAGGCTGCTTAGCCAACCACGCGGAAAGCCTATGGGGTATATATAGAGTGACCACATGTTATATGTAAATATCATTAATTATTTATTTGTTGAAACTAGGTTTTACTCCGTTTGTGAACACAACCATAACTCTATCAAAACACGCAAAATGTGTTTCCAGTGCTAACAACCAATTGACTGGTCTATCGCTGGACTTAATCAGGCGAGGGTATCTCAATTGCACATTACCGATAGTAATGTCTGTTTGGGGCAAGAGTATGTGGCGTCTGAAGTTACCGGTCTTCCTCCAGTACCCAAACCGGCTGTCGTTGGTTTAGTACAGAAATGTCAACGGTATGAATACAACTAAACCTAATTTTAATTTAAATCTAAGATTACCATAATCAGAATCAGGCAATAATTATACCATTTATGTCATTCCCAGCCAACATAGTTGAGGTCAATTTGGGAACCATAACGTCTGGCAGATGTGCCGGAGATTTCCTATACGTGCAGACAATGTATACAAATGACATTCCCTTAGCCTGTGTTGACTATTCCCTCTCATCTCTACGTGTGTCCCAAATGAGTGTCTCAATCACTGGTGCCAACTGCCCGACCACGTGCTCACTAAGTCCGCTCCCATAGAGTTAACGTGTAATGGCTATCATTACAGACAAACCCCGTTCTCATACACCGCAGACTTCAATGGCCAGAAGGAGGTCATGGGTTTGGCCGACAGCAACCAAATCATGTCTTTCGTCAACGGTATGAATACTACTAAACATTAATATAATTTTAATTAAAACATAAACTTACCATAATCAACCAATAATTATACATATTTATGTACTTCACAGCCAACATAGTTGAGGTCAATTTGGGAACCATAACGTCTGGCAGATGTGCCGGAGATTTCCTATACGTGCAGACAATGTATACAAATGACATTCCCTTAGCCTGTGTTGACTATTCCCTCTGTAGAGATGCACACAGGGTTTACTCACAGAGTTAGTGACCACGGTTGACGGGCTGGTGCACGAGTGACGACTCGGCCACCGATATGACCATCAGCACACATCTCAACAACCATGGTCAAGCTTAATTATAAATTTTAATTCATATTTACCGTTGAATTGTAATTCAAAATTTTTCAAAATCTGTATTTTCCTTAAATATAGTCTTATTTTAAATTAAATATTTTGAAGCATTGAATAAATTTATTTAGTGTCGAAATTAATAATTTAAATAAATAGACAAAAATTGTTTATAAAATATTAAAATAAGAATTAAGAAAATTAATAATTTTGTGATAATATTTATGTCACAACATCTGAACAGACGTCTGAACGGCAATAATGTTTGACATCAATATTGTTAATCATTTTAGTGCCACAAAGAGTGCCCTCAAACGCCGCATACCCTAAATCCGATTCAAACCATTCATTAATCGCCCGACAATGCAATGAATAGCATATATCCTGAGACAACAGTTGCCATTAAAACCATAATCAATTGAAGCCATCATTTAACCACAGCATACCTGATAGGGTTTGGATGTGATGGCCTGGTATTTGATGCCCCAACTGAATCTGCACTGATCGTCAACCGGCCAAATAACACCGGGAAGTGCTTTGTTTGAGAAATCAAACTCTGGTGACAGTGTTTGCGCCGGTTTTTGCAGTTCTGTCAAACATTTGGCACTAATTTTTATAAAACAAAGTAAAAAGTGATTATAATTTCTATAAAACACATTCCCATTGAAACAAACGTAATGTTTTCAAATTGTTCTCTCATTTGATTGACACTACAGTCGGACCATTGGGACAGTCGTCCGATACTTTGTTTGGGAGCCATTATATGTAGGGTTTGGATGTGATGGCCTGGTATTTGATGCCCCAACTGAATCTGCACTGATCGTCAACCGGCCAAATAACACCGGGAAGTGCTTTGTTTGAGAAATCAAACTCTGGTGACAGTGTTTGCGCCGGTGTTTGCAGTTCTGTCAAACATTTGGCACTAATTTTTATAAAACAAAGTAAAAAGTGATTAAAATGCTTATAAAACACATTCCCATTGAAACAAACGTAATGTTTTCAAATTGTTCTCTCATTTGATTGACACTACAGTCGGACCATTGGGACAGTCGTCCGATACTTTGTTTGGGAGCCATTATATGCAAATTATCAGCACAATTGGCCAATTTACCCTCTCCATCATGATCCAGACCAAGACTTTTAGTTAAAAAATTTAATTCAAAATTATAACAATTGTTTTAATCGCTAATTCATAGACCAGTACTTGTGGCCCATTTCATGAGCTATAGTGGCCGGTGCTGTCAGTTCTCTGGTCTTAACCAAAGCACACGCGCTGTTACCACATATGGTCCGCGTAAAGGCCAGACCTAAATTTAATTGTATTTTCAATGATTAGTATATAATTAGTAATTATTAATTACCCAAATCCTCGTCCAATTTCTTATTATCCGGTGACCACACGTTTTGACTGAAATAATAAACAAATTAATTAATTAAATACTGGTTTTAAACCAAAAGCTAATTGAATACCCGGTCAATAGTAGTGCTACATCCCATTTGGGGTTGGCCACAGCCCGCAATGGTTTTTGAAATTCACAAAAGGCTGTCAAATAACTACTGGTGTCGATATAATGGCTACCATTTGTGACATCAATTTTACTCAAAGCAATCACTTTAAGCTTGAAATTGGCCACAGTTTTCATGTTTTCTCTGTTATAATAGATTTCTGTCGCATAGATTAGCGCTGAGATAAATGCAGTCAACTCTTTCTTATCATTGAAACGTATGAATAAACTGTTGTCATAAAAGACATGGATTTTGAGATAAATGTCACCGAAATGTTTGCCAGTGTTTACACCAAATGACTTCACTTTCTGTCTATTGATTTCATTCGTTCGCAAATCATTTGGTCCTTAAGTTTAATGATTAAGGAGTGGATCAGCTGTTGATTTGGTTGGGATTTAATTTCATAGATCTTACCATTTCTCAAAATTATATCACTTCGTATAGACCTCTGATGACTGATCCCAATGAGTGACACAATTATTAGATAAAATACAAGTGAAGACATTTTTAAACACTATTTTATAATAGTTTTGAAATACAAAAAATAACGGATTTGTATCTCAAAAAATAGTATTCAAAATTATCCAACAATTTAAAGCTAGAATAATAACATTGTTTATAGAGAATCGATCGTGATTTTAATATTACTTTAATTCAAATAACTGATTGTTTTAACGATAAATTATTACAAATTTAACAATACTAATAGTGATATTGAAAACAAATGATTTATATTTGTATCTCCAAAATGTTTGCCAGTGTTTAGGCTAAAGGGTTTGACTGTAAAAGTACCAATGTCATTTATGTCATTTGACCGCAAATCAACGTTTGATCCTAAAGTTGAACCATTAAGTAGTGATCAATTTTTATTAGGTTTAAAATGTTATATACAAAACCTGAGTCACGTAAATGCGAACGATATATAAATTGTAATAACTTTAACGATGGTTAAGTTATTGAATTAATCTATATACCATTTGATAGCTTATTTATGGATGTTTAATGCCTTGTATTAAAATTTTTTAATTTAAACCACAACTGAATTTAACCGCCGATTCTCTTATACGTCTGCCTAAACATGTTTTCCACTCTATGTTAAAGTATAGCAATGCTTAAAAATTCATATTTGATTGTTATCGGTCTTTATAAATATTATTAAGTTATAATCTGATTATATTAAGACTAATTTAAGCTAGATATGTTGTGTCATAACTATTTTTAATAAAATACATAGCTAGTTTTGCAAAGTAATGCATTATCATTAAAAAGTCCAAAAATGTTCATAAAATTATCTTTCTCCTAAAATATTAATTTTATTGATTATTTATAATTTTATAATTTAAAATCAAACACAGAATATTTAAAATCATGCTGATATAATCAGATTATAACTTAATAATATTTATAAAGACCGATAACAATCAAATATGAATTTTTAAGCATTGCTATACTTTAACATAGAGTGGAAAACATGTTTAGGCAGACGTATAAGAGAATCGGCGGTTAAATACTAATTCATAGACCAGTACTTGTGGCCCATTTCATGAGCTATAGTGGCCGGTGCTGTCAGTTCTCTGGTCTTAACCAAAGCACACGCGCTGTTACCACATATGGTCCGCGTAAAGGCCAGACCTAAAACGTGGTCATTTAAGTGTATTCTCAATGATTAGTATATAATTAGTAATTATTAATTACCCAAATCCTCATCCAATTTCTTATTATCCGGTGACCACACGTTTTGACTAAAATAATAAACAAATTAATTAATTAAATACTGGTTTTAAACCACAACCCAATTGAATACCCGGTCAATAGTAGTGCGATATCCCATTTGTCGTTGGCCTTTGCCCGCAATGGTTTTTGATGTTTACAGAAAGCGGTCAAATAACTACTGGTGTCGATATAATGACTACCATTTGTGACATCAATTTTACTCAATTCAATCACTTTAAGCTTGAAATTGGCCACAGTTTTCATGTTTTCTCTATTATAGTATATTTCTGTCGCATAGATTAGCGCTGAGATAAATGTTGTCAACTCTTTCTTATCATTGAAACGAATGGATAAACTGTTGTCATAAAAGACATGGATTTTGAGATAAATGTCACCGAAATGTTTGCCAGTGTTTACACCAAATGACTTCACTTTCTGTCTATTGATTTCATTCGTTCGCAAATCATTTGGTCCTTAAGTTTAACGATTAAGGAGTGGATCAGCTGTTGATTGGTTTGACATTTATTGTCACAGATCTTACCATTTCTCAAAATTATATCACTTCGTATAGACCTCTGATGACTGATCCCAATGAGTGACACAATTATTAGATAAAATACAAGTGAAGACATTTTTAAACACTATTTTATAATAGTTTTGAAATACAAAAAATAATAACGGATTTGTATCTCAAAAAATAGTATTCAAAATTATCCAACAATTTAAAGCTAGAATAATAACATTATTTATAGAGAATCGATCGTGATTTTAATATTACAAATTTAATTCAAATAACTGATTGTTTTAACGATAAATTATTACAAATATAACAATACTAATAGTGATATTTAAAACAAATGATTTATATTTGTATCTACAAAATGTTTGCCAGTGTTTAGGCTAAAGGGTTTGACTGTAAAAGTACCAATGTCATTTATGTCATTTGACCGCAAATCAACATTTGTTCCTAAAGTTGAACCATTAAGTAGTGATCAATTTTTATTAGGTTTAAAATGTTATATAAATAGTAATATAATTACGATTTCTGACAACAATATCATCACTTCGTATGGATCTCTGATGACTGATACAAATGAGTGATACTATCATTAGATAACACATTAATGAAGACATTTTCAAACTGTATATGTTATTTGAATTAAAGTTAAAATAAACTGAATTTGAATGTATTTTATGCTTCAATTTATTAAACAATAATTATTACAATTTTCACGAGATTTGGCTTTAAATTTGTCCCATAATTATAATGACAACAATAATAATGATATGAAAATACACTACAATTCAATTGATATAAACTTAGAAACAAATGAATTTCAATGGTTTACGACACGCATAGACCTGAGGGGTGACTCTCGGCGCACAACTAATGTAATCAAATGTTTCATTTTTATCTGCATTTCTTGCAATTCTTCAATACATACTCTATTCAGAGGGCGTTTTGGCCAAACCACCCGTTCATACCGTGGCCTTCATCTACACCAACACCATTCCCGGCATTTGCATGTTAACCTATGGGGTTTTTAAAAATATTATATTTAAATATAATTAACTATATCTTGTAATACTACATTAAATATATGTTAAAATGCATGTAAAGCTAAATCATATAAACGACATTCGTATATAAATTGTGGTTAAAAATGTGACTATAGTTGAGATTAAACTTAATGTAAAACGAAGCTCTTTATGATAATCATGGCTTATATGGGATTCTTTGAACATCACCCCAATTGTGGCATCGCTTGTGAGCCTTATTTCAAATGTTTGTTTTCACTAAATATGCAAACCGTATGGCAATCAAGACTTTTATGAAAACTCATTTCATTATAAGTTTTCTTTATATCAATTACACGTCAGTTTAGGTCTTAATTAATAAATAGTATTTTTTATATATTTTTTTTTATTGACTAAAAATGTTTAAATTATGGCAACATTTAATCTAAACGCTTGATTTGTAAATGTTATTCATTAGTTATCAAAACAATTAGTTTAATCCATTCATTAGTATTTCAGATTTAACCACAAAAATTTAACCAAAACTTTTTGAAACCCAAAAACATTGATCATAACTAATGCCGGGATCAGTGTTGAAGACAATAGTCGGTGCGGCTATGGGTTCGGTGAACACGGGTTTACTACAGTTCGTGTCACTCATACCGGCGCTCATACCAGTGCTCATAAACATGTGGATCAATTCGGTGGACAAGAACTCTGTGCACAATCAGCACTGGAAAGTGCAATACGACTACATAGTAGTGGGCGGCGGGACTGCCGGCGCGCTAATCGCCAACCGATTGGCGGCAACCAAATACCGAGTACTGGTGCTCGAGGCCGGCGGTAACGGCAACTTCTTTAACGAAGTGCCGGCGCTGTCGCACGTATTGCCGCAGACATCGATGGACTGGCAGTTTGTGACCGAACCGCAGGAGGGCTCGTGTCTCGGTCTCACCGAACAGCGGAGTCAGTGGCCGAGCGGTCGAGTATTGGGCGGCACTTCAGCGATGGACGACCCGTTGTATGTGAACGGAAATCCCGCGGACTTTGACCGCTGGCAAGAGATGGGCGCCGATGGCTGGGACTGGAAGTCTGTGAGACAACACTTTCCCGTTCCTGAGAGCGACCGAAAGGCTGGCTCTGACACAGAGTTTGAAGAGGCCTTCGAGAGTAAGCTAACGGTGCAGATGACGGACACCCCTCTCGCCCGCGCTTTCATTCAATCGGGTCTCAAAATGAACTATAGTTTAGTAAAAGTCAACACTCGGGCTAACATTGGGTTCAGTTTCCCTCAGTTTACCACAAAAAAAGGTTTGCTATTAACAGATACTTACCGTTATATCCCGTTATAGTAAACGTATAATTGGGTTATGATGTGAAAAGTTATACAAAATTACGATTTGTTAATATATTTGACAAATTGTACGGACAGGTCGTCGCCAGTCGTCGGCGAAGCTCTACTTGTCATCGGTTCTGAAGAACAAAAACCTGGATCTCGTTAACTATGCGTTCGTTAAGCGATTGGTGGTCACGAACGGGACGGCCAGTGCTGTCGAGTTTGACCGCTTCGGCAGTACTTATACCATAAAAGCCAAACATGAGATCATATTAACAGCCGGCGCTATCAATACACCCAAAATACTGATGCTATCGGGAATCGGACCCAAAGAGCACTTAACGGCGCTCGACATACCAGTGGTCGCGGATCTGCCGGTGGGTGACAACCTTCAGGACCAGTTCGGCACTCATATGTCGTACACTATCGACAAAAGCAAAACCATTAACGCATTCAAAGACATGGATTTCATGCAATTTTTTAAATACATACTCTATTCGGAGGGCGTTTTGGCCAAACCACCCGTCGATGCCGTGGCCTTCATCGACACCGACACCACTCCCGGCGCCGCCGATCCGCCGATTAATAAGGCGCCAAACGTCCAGTTAATACTCAAACCGATGAGTTTGACTTCAGATAACGGCCAACTTCTGCGCCAATCGTACGGAATCGCTGACCACTACTGGAAACTCTTTGAGAAACACACGGCCAAAGACTCGTTCACTATTGTGGCCAATCTGTTGCGGCCGAAGAGTCGCGGATCAGTGCGGCTGCGATCGGGCGATCCGTTCGCTGCGCCAGTGATTGATCCTAAATATTATTCGTCCCGCGAAGACATGGAAACGATGGTTAAGGCGCTGAAAGTGGTCAAGAATATTGTCCAACAAAGACCTTTCCGGATGCTAAGTGTCTTAGGGTTAGGAAAGCCCCGCGAATGCGACCAGTATTTGCTTAAAGCCGACAAATACAGCGAATGTCTGGCCAGAACTGCGACACTGACGGCCCGATCGCCGGCCGGCACGTGCCGTATGGGCGACCCGACACACCCCACGTCAGTAGTGGACCCTAAGTTGCGGGTAATCGGCGTGAATGGGCTGCGAGTGGCCGACGCGTCCGTAATGCCGGCGCTGGTGTCCGGCAGTCCATACGCCACCACTTTGATGATCGCCCAAAGAGTGACCAACTTTATCGTCGAGAGGGACCAGGAATTCCTGCGCCGACTCTGGGATCAGGTGAACGGATTCATAATGAATGGCATTTTGTTGGCCGCGAAGACTGTCGCCCAATACTTTGGTCTCAAAGATTTTGAAAAGACCCTCAAATTGGCGGACAGTCTTAGTGGACATCAATTGTCAGAAGTAATGAATGCTTCGTGGTGATCATAGTGGTGACCATGGTCATTTAATTTCCCGCTAGTATTTATCGCTACAAACATTGTTTGAATTCATTTCCCATTCGGTTTCAATCAAATCAAAATTACTAATAATACGTGAAATAATAAAACTTTTTTTTATAAATATTTGATTTCATTAACAAAATTCATTGGTTTTTCAATTAAACATATTTTCCAAATAATTATTAAAGTTGTCTTAATTGATGAGATGGTAATGTCAATGAAAATTAAACTAATTATAACCAAAAACCCTTTAAATATGATCAACAATTGGTGTGTAAGACTTGTATCGACCATAAGGTTAGAAACTATGGCACAATTATCGAAAAATTTCTTTATTTAGATTATAATTTATAAATGATATAACAATTTAGTAACAAATATACGAAACAATAGATAGACTAGTATTTATGGCACAATTGTTTCGGTGATTAGATATGAGATCCAGAGACCAAAGTGTGGGCCACCAGGAAATGGGGACCCGTTTCGAAGACATTAGATCCGATCGATACACCTCTTGGAAAGTGTTAACTCCTGTCTCATAATCAACTCATTGGTGAGGTATGAGTGAAGACGCATCTGTTGTCGCAGGTCTTTGGGCACATCCGGTATGAGTACTCTCATCATTGATGTCAACAATACGATCACATTCTCGAAGACCACTACAAACGCCAGCCGAGCGACCATTAGGTGCCAGAAGTTCTGCTCCCGAGCCTCGGCCTCAGTCGGGTCGGGCCTGTGATTGGCCGGCGGCGCCCCGTAATTGGAAAAACTGTCAGAACAAAAGAAATTATCCATTATCTCAGCATTGGATCAATTGATAGCAATATACTGTATATCCAGTGATAACTTACACACAGAAAGTGGCGTCGATTTGCGAATCATTGATCGGTGACCTGAGAAGCGTTGAGTTGAGATACGTCTGGTAACTGCCGTTCTCTATGTAGTGAAGAATTCGGGGCACAAAACTAGTGGTAAACGCGATGATCATAGCGTTGGTGATGACCGACAACTTGCCCATCGCGTCCAAAATTCTATACCAAATGCCAATACTCTTCACTCTAAATAATGGCATCAAAAATAGAAGACAACAAACAATTAAATTCAAAACAATAGATCCAAAACCGAGAGAAGCAAACAAACAGACCGTTGAGCGACGGGTCGCTTAAAACTAGTGATAATCTTTTTGGCGTCGAATCGGATCTCGAAGAAGTTGTTAACCAAAGCGAATAGAGGCGCCAACGGGAAGGCCGACACAAATACGGTTACGAAACCGAACTGAAGGACGAGTTCCAGGTATTCGTAGAAGAGTGAGGTAGAGGTCCACGACTCGAGCAGATAGTCGTCCTCCCATTGCGGCAAATTCAGAGGACCCGCACAACCGCTCTCCTCGTCGACCACATCCCGAGTGTAACGCCATTTGGTGTAGAATCGGGTCAATACGGGAGTCAGTGTCTCGACAACGGCGCCGAACGCCTGCTTTCCCACCATTACTGTCGCCAACTGTATCGCTAAGTCCACGAAACAGCCGCCTATTTATCGGGATATTTGACATTTTCTTAGAGAGAGAGAGAGAGAGAGAGAGAGTCGATGTCATACCCATAGGACACTCTTCGACAAAATATTTGGACACATCGCCCGTCTGCGTAACGAACCTCCCCTTCGCGAAAGCGATGTAAAATATGGACGAATAGTAATTAACGAATTGAAACAAAAACATCTTAAGCGTCAACGAGTTGTCGAACTCGAACTGAGTCCGCGGCAGTTCCCGTTCGGTCAGGTATATGGCGAGTCGGGTATAGAGTTTGTCAAACACTAGTATACACAGCAAATTGATGAGCGCAGCGGTGGTCGACGTTATGATAGAGCCGTATCGTTGAAGAAACGGCGAGTTGTTATCCCACGAGCCGAGGACTATGCGGACGGACACCCTGTAGGCAATGACCGACAGCATTATACCGATGACCAGAGAGACACAGAGCAACACCAGCGATGACGAGACGATCAGATGCGGCAGTTTTCCCCTCACGAACGGCACCACCGGCTCCTCCATACGGGTCACCGGATTTAGTTTGCGTTTTGAGCGTTGGTTTACTGACACACGAGCCTTGATATGGGAGTGAATCAGTGGTTAAGTTCATTGCTAGTTATATTATGCACTCTTCCCGTAGAGTAAGACTAGACTAAACTAGACTACAGTATCACTGTATCACTAGACTATACTA